TGTCTATGGCATGGAGTGCTGTAGACCCGGATAAAGGAGAAATGTGTTTCTAGGCTGGGGCTGAAGTAAATCTCTCAGAGCAAAGTTTTGGATCAGAAGGGATGAATGTGAAGTTTGAAGGGTCTTTGTACCTCACTGCGCTCCGCTGATACCTCGGAGTCTGATGTCTCACTATTAGTATGGAGACGTTCTAGAGCCCTGAGCCCAGCACTTCTCCACTGTGTGAAAAGAGAGTCATTTTCTAATTCTTCCATCCCCTGCCCCATTTTCCAGGACTATTGCTCTAGGTTATGTAGACAAGCACCTTCCCTGTATTCTTCCTTCATCTTTTCCCCATATGGATTTCAATGGGGTTGAGTGATGAATGCTGAGGACATGGATGAGAGGAGATGAATGCAGGAGCTTTGCTGGGTCGCTCGGGGTTCTTGACTGGGTGTCGTGGGCAGCACTTGAGGTGACCCCAGTGATGCTCATAGAGGCTGCAAGGAGCAACGACATCTCTGTTCCCTGGGTTAAGCCAGTAGCCTCATGTCCTCCCACTGAGCTCACTGCCAATGTCCCTGTCTACCACTGTGCATGGATAATAAGCCATAGAGCAGTCCCTATCTCATCCCAATGGCAAATTTACCACTCTACTGCCAAAGCAAAGAGCCAAGAAGGAGGCAGCCAGGGCTATGGGCGCTGAGCTCTCCCAGCAGTGCTCTCCTTTCCTCTTCCCCTCTCAGTGTGCTCACACCATTCCAAGCACTCAGCAAGAGCCCAAGAGGCATTGGAGGGTTTTGGTGGGGCACAGCTCATGCTCCAAGTGCATTTCCCAACACTTGACCGAGTGTGGCTGCTTAGCCAGGGAAGGACAAGCACTTCTAAAGGACAAAGTCTCCTATCTCAGGCCCTGCCAGCACAAACCGACTCTGTGAGAGTGAAACTGGACTATCTTGCAAAAACACTTTAAGCAAACACACCGCTCAATGGAAAGCATCTGATAAGGGCTGCTGCACTTCTGGCGGTGCGGGCAGGAGGACCTCGGTGCTCCCATTAGGTCTTCGGCTTCGCTGGGGCTGTCTCACTCCTCTCAGCGGGGGAGACGCCATGTCCACGACCCTCTGCCAAGTGATGGGGTTCCTTGTCTCGTCGCTGGGTGTTGTAGGGTGCATCATGTCCACTGCCATGGATATGTGGAGCACGCAGGACTTGTACGACAACCCGGTGACGGCCGTCTTCCAATATCAGGGACTGTGGAGGAGCTGCGTGCGGCAGAGCTCTGGCTTTACAGAATGCCGGCCGTATTTCACCATTCTTGGGCTGCCAGGTAGGGCAAAAATGCACCAGGTTGAACCCAGGAGCTGTTCTGCACCCACAAATATAACAGCTACCTTAAAGCACTTTGCGAGGAATAAAATTTCTGGGCTACTCAGTGTAGAAGCATAAAAATATGGGAGTATTTGCTACTGAAATAATAGCTTTGCTCGGTGCAGGTTACAACTCGGAGTGTGTGTAGGCGATCTCTGGATGAGTGCCATGGGGTTTGGCTGTTACTGATGTAAAGATACTTAGACCTGTGGATATTCTGTCCCCTTGAATTGAAGCGGAAGGAAAGCGGCTGTGTGCAGTTCTTGTGTTGTTGTCAGAATAATGTGTTCTACTAAAACCAACTGAAGTATTTTTTTTAATAACAAAATCACAGAAGAAATCTGCCTCTGGGTAGAGCAGGAAGGGCAAGGAGTGGAGAGGTGTGTTCAGATTTTACATTGACTTTTATAGTGGTTGCAGTAGTAGGTTGTAGAAGGGTACTACTTTCTGTGTTGCTTCCTATTTCCTCAATGTCATGTAAAAAAAGGAGCTGTTTTCCTATCCCACTGCCCTTCAGGGTATCCTGTGCTCCTGAGCTGGTCTTCTGCCATGGCAGCAGCCAGCTTGGTTTGCCATGCCTTCCCATGACCTACTGCACCTGTACCCTGCCAGTGAGCAATGAATGCAGATCTGAGAGTGGTTTTCACTCATGCTGCAAGTAAGCACCATTTTATGTAGGCCTTTTGCATCTACTGAGTGGTTTAAAAGAAAACACAGTGCAGGCTCTCAGCCCCATACCCTCATGGCAGCCCTGCTCAAATGTTTTGTTGAAGACCAGGGCATTGAAGGAGGTTGTCCATATTCTAGTTTTCTTTTTTCTTTTCTTTTTTTTTTTAAGTTCTACACCAATAAGGAAATATGTATGATGGTCACAGGCATTTCCTATTGTGCAATAGAGCTATTTCTTTTATTATCTTTCTGCGTCTATTTAGTTGATGAGAACCTTAAAACACAAATAAGGAATGGCTCAGGTTGAACTTGGTTAACTTAAAAATCTCATTTTTGCCCTGTGTTTCAATATTCCATTGAACCAGTCATAAACTTACTTTTCTGTCTTTGTGTTCTGCATTAGTGATCGTTGATGTTAGTTCTGTTGATCTTAAAGTGCTTTTCACCTCTCCTGCTCACAACAACACTGGGAGAAGAGACAGCTCTCCATTCCCACTTGGGACTGAAAAACATATATTCCAAATTGCACATTTACTTCAGTCAGCAGGCTTGGGTTGATACTATTTTCTATGCGTGCTTTCTCTTTGTGTGGAAATTGAGTGTGCAAAAATAAGCAATCATATTTGTCCAGCCATTGTGCACAGTTGTTCCATCTCATGCAAAATACATATGTAAAGAGGGGCAGGTCATTTGCTTGGTTCTAACTATAGGGCAGTATGTTAACTCGTGCTCCTGGTGCAAATTTTTTCCTTAGACTCTTATTTTGTTTGTCTGAGCCCTTCCACTCCTTCCTTCTATCGCAGGTCACTGCCCTTTGAAAGCAGCTCTGCTTGGAGGACTTCTGATGGCTGCCAGAATCCACTTGAAATTACTGTGCTCTCATTACGAAAGGCCCTCACTTTTGGTCCCATGATTCAGGTGAAGGGGTTTTAATGCCACAGCAGAGTTGAGAGCACCCTCTTTTCCTTCCCATCCCTTCAGCAGAGATGATGTACACATCAGCCTTGTGGAACCGTCGTCTTACATTGAGGAGACACTACCAATTGCTTTGCACTAACTTGTGCCCCTGCTGTGTCCCTCTCTCCTTCCTTTTTACATCTTCAGATTGCCCATTTTCAATTGCAATCCATCACGCTTGGTCTCTGGTGCTCCAGAAGTCCTGTCTCTGCAGGATGTGCTTGACCTGCCCATTCTGACCTTCCAGGCTCACTCAAAGCACTGGGAACATCTCTATTGGGAGCCCATGATATCTGTGAGGTCTTGGCTTAAGATCACCTCCTCTTTAAGGATTCAGACTGCCGTAGTGATGGTAGGTAGAGACCGTAAGGTCTGTTGGAAACACCCCAGGAGCATAAGACTGTCTTAGGGACAGATCCTGAGAGCTACAATGACCTTCCATCAGGATCCATTGTGTCTACTCTGCTTTATCAGCTTCTACCGGCTGTCCTGAAACCAAAGCAATTGGAGACAACTTTAAGAGACTGTAAAGACAAACGAGTATTGTGATTTTCTTCTCTTTACAGCTTTCTGTTCTGCATCAGGTGCTGCACGAATACCTTTTGAGGGCTGATAAGGCATATCCGCCAGCTTCTTGTTCTCCAATGAATAATAACTAGTGAGCTCACACCTGGGGGCTGATGAATGGGAGATTGAAAACCCCAGGCTCGTTAGCACTCGTTATCAGCAGATAAGGGCAAATTGAGTCATAAGAGCAGCAGCCCCAGTGGGACTGCTGGATGGGAAAAAGGTAATGTAGTTCCAGTTAATGGTTGGTTCTCCATTCGTTTTGGCACCAGCATGGTTTTGCTCAGGCTCCTCCATAAGCAGGGAGGCACTGCAGCGCCCACCTTGGCATCCTAGATAGAGTTTATAAACGTTTCCCTTCTCCATCCTTTTATGAGGCCAATAGTCTGCTCCCTGCTCTCCTGCTCCAGCTGGGGAATGTGATATGGTACACCTGGGTGCTGCTGTCCTCTTGTCCAGCCCAGTAAAAGGGGTGATAGCCAAAGCATTGTAGCTATCCCTTGATCTACATGCAGTGTTTCTCAGGGTGATTTTTTTCTTCTCTCGTGCCATCTGTTTTATTGTGAAGGAGGAAAACCTGGATCTCTACTTTACAGGGTGGTTGAAAATACCACAGAGAGCTGGGTGAAGCTCTTCACTGCTTGGGGAAAATGTGCTTTCTCAGTCAGTTCAGTTATGAAACAGTTCCTGCTTTTTTAAAAGGGTCAACTAAGCAACAATACAGCAATAGTGTGACATACGTTACAGGTGCAGCAGAGATGCACTTCAATACAGCGACAGGCAAAACAAACAAATCCTTACATATTAAAACAATAAGGTTTCTATTCCACTTTGAAATGCAGGGAGAAACTTGTGACTTTTCCAACAATACGGTTTGAGGCTCCTTCAGTGTTTAAACAAAGGGTCTGATACAATTCTGCAATGTTAAATATCTATTCTCACACCGAGAATTAATAGGAATGTCAGCATCACTTTAGCAGGGCTCTGTTATGATAGGACAAGGGAAAAATGGTTTCCAACTAAAAGAGGGGAGATTTAGATTGGATATAAAGAAGAAGACTTTTACAATAAGGGTGGTGAGGCACTGACAAAGGTTGCTCAGAGGGGAGGTGGATGCCCCAACCCTGGAGACACCCAAGGTCAGGCTGTTGGGGCTCTGAGCACCTGATGCAGGTGTCCCTGTTCATTGTAGGGGAGCTGGACTAGATGGCTTTTAAGTCATCCAACTCTAATGATCTTATGATCTTAAGATAACTTAGGCTTTCTTTTTTTAAAAAAAATAAAAGGCCTCTTTTCCATGGGATAAACTCAGCTTTCAGGAAGTTGGAGTATGTTAATGTTATTTTTATTCCTTTAACATTTTTATTTCTATTTTAAAATAGTCTTCAAAAGCCTCCCAGTCTCCAACGAGTCTCACTTCACTTGTTCATCATGGCTCTCGTTGATTTGTTTTGCAGCAATGTTTCAGGCTGTGAGGGCCCTTATGATCGTGGGAATTGTCCTGGGCATCCTTGGCCTCTTTGTGTGCATTTTTGCTATGAAGTGCATCCGAATTGGCACCATGGAGGATTCTGCAAAAGCCAATATGACTCTGACCTCTGGCATCATGTTTATTATTGCTGGTGAGTGAGTTGTGTCTTCCATATACAAAACATAGTGCCTGAAATTGAGGACTGAGCAAGGCTTCACGCCTCTCTGGTTACGTGCCTTTCTGCTGGTATGAGTTGGAATTTTGTAGTGTAAAGTTTTATTCTTACTTCTGGAATGTGAAAGTGCAGAAATTGTTGCAGAAATGCAAACATGCTGTGCGTCTCAAAGAACCAAGTTGTGTGCTATGTGAGTCTCAGACCACCTTTCTGCTCAACCCCAGGTCTGTGTGCCATCACTGGAGTGTCTGTGTTTGCAAACATGCTGGTCACAAACTTCTGGATGTCCACAACCAACATGTACCAGGGAATGCAGAATGTCCAGAATAGGTAGGTGCTCATCTAGCTCAGGATTGAGCCAAAGGAAAAACAAACACTGGATGCTGCTTAGTCTGGTCCCAGGACATGGAAGGTTCAATGAGCCTCTGCATTCAAGATAAGGGTAACTTGTCCAAGAAAAGTGACTGGGATGTCTGCAATTATGCAGCTCAAGAAGGGATTGGGGATCCCATGAAGGATCGCTCTGCAGGTGGGATTGTGTTCATGGGAACTTCTGCAGGGCCAGAAGAGAGAGAATTTTCAGTGTATTTCAGAAGAAATAGCCTGGAGCACTGTCACAGCACTAATCAGATACATTGCTGTTTTGTAGGTACACCTTTGGCTCAGCCCTCTTTGTTGGCTGGGTGGCGGGCGGCTTGGCCCTCGTAGGAGGAATCATGATGTGCCTTGCTTGCAAAGGAATGATTCCAGAAGAATCCCGGTAAGTCTGGCTGTGGTGGATACAGGGAGGTGCTATGTGAAGCCTTGGATGTCAGGATAGGAGGCGGCCATCACATCATAAGACAGGTCTAGGCATAATGCCCTCATTGCAAATGTTATTGTGATGATACATCTGCTTGTCTTGTGTAATGGGACACAAGTGGCCATTTCTCTTCCTTAACTGCATGACTTGAAAACAAAAAGAGAGTAGGAGAGATTGCCCTTAACATCCAATAAACCATTCTAACACTTGTAATGTGCTGGCCACGTTGGCCCTACTAACTGCAGCTTTGATTGCAGATGGTGTAACAGATCACCATAAAGTAAAGACTGCATCAGCTGAGCTATGATTTACTTCATGCAGGGCTTTGGACACCTGCACAGTTGGCAGTAAGTCATTCACTCAGATGAGGATTTACTCAAGAAAATATAAGTTTATGAGAACATATGAAAGAGAGCCTTACAGCACGTCGTAGAATCATAGAATCACAAGGTTGGAAAGGACCTACAAGATCATCCAGTCCAACCATCCATGGACGGTTGGCTCTGGGCACCGAGTGATGACACACTATGAAGTTGCCTGAAATCCATCAGCAAATGGGAACAGAAGGTGCAATACTGGGTAGTCAGAGGGCCTCCAGTGGCTAATGCCATCTTTCCTGTCTTTCAGTTACAAGGCGGTGTCCTACAACGCGTCAGGACGGAACATCTCCTACAGAACAGGACCGTACAAAGCTGGCTCAGGGTACGAGCCTGACACGAAGACTAGGAAGGGTCCAGGGTATGAAGAAGCTCCTCGGAGCGAGGATGCAGGACGCTCCTACCCTTCAAAATACGACTACGTCTAGCAGACTTCCTAAGCTTGAGATGTGCTGTGTTTTATAGAACGTTTTTCACTTTAGACACAAAAAGTATACGCAAATAAGGCAGACTGTAAATAGGATTTTGTTTTCTATTGTTTTTCCCCTCCTCAAAAATGGTACCCTTTTATTCTTCTGCCTGTTGGCATAGCCATCATGAGGAGACCTGTAACAAAAGTAATGTCTTTTTCTGTTCTTGAAATACAACCGTTTCCTCATGTTTTACATATAAACTCTGGCAGTCAGGACCAGGATTCTGCCTTGTGTCATCTACTATTTCTGCTAATAGGTTTAAATTCTTATTATTGATGACCAGTTTGTAGTCCAAACACAGTCACTTGGATGCCTGTGGCTAAAAAGTACATAATGATGTTGCATACAAAAAAGCCTTAAGAAATCAGGAAGTTGAATCACACGCATTATGAAAAGCAGAAATTAAGTTATGGAAGTCTTATGTATTATTTTGTTGTGTATTGTAAGAAAACTCAGCTGTGTCCCTTTGGCTACAGCCAGTGCATGCAGAACCAGCAGCCATGGCATTTTCCTCTCTGGCAGTGTTTCTAGTCAGACTCACCTTTATTTCGCTGGTGGTACTACAGTGCTGATCTGCTGTGATATTTAATCTGATTTATGTTACTTAGACATTTGCTGTTTCCCATGATACCAAAGTGTATTTATTTCTTCTGATCTCATTGGGGAATATATATAATCCATTGTTATTCCTATGCTAGATATTTGATACAATAGCTGAAAACCTCTGTGTGCGACCAGAGTTCCTGCAGATGTCATCATTAATGAAACCAGGAGAATTTCTCATTTAGAATTAATTAGAGTTACAATTGAGCAGGAATCCCAGGGAGCATTAGATGTGAAACTCTGCACTAACATCTTTCTTGTGTTAATTCTTCTCCAAATGATGTGAAGATTAAGTCCTTAGTGAGATGCTGCCTCTTCTAGCCAACCTGCAAGAGGGGATGTTTATTGGAAGGGGTCAGAGGAAGGGAGACCAGAGCTCTAGGAAAATGTCTTGGAGCAAAGGGCACTGAGAGATAAGTTAGGGAAAAGCAGGTGTCTGAATCCTCAAAAGTAGCCTTTTTGATAGACTTCTGCAACTTCTGCTCTTGTCCCACTTGTAACAACAGTAAGTTGCCAGAATTTGCTGGCAGATTTGATTTGGGTTGCTCACATTCTGAATGCATCACAGGTAGAGCTGACCATTCCCCCATAGTATAACCTCTGCTAGGTCTCCCTCTCCAGCAAGCATCTCCTGTGGCTTGTGGGACAGCAGAGTGGGCTGTCCTGCTCAACACCATTACTCCTGGTGAGCACAGTCCATACCCATCAGCTCTCCATCACTGCATGGAGTCATCTTCAGCATAGATCCAGGAGGAGGGGAATCTGAATCTCAAGCAGCTCAGCAAGAGGGGGAGGGAGTGACAAGGGCAGCATGACCAGTGTGTGGAGAGATGGGAAGAGCTTCTACCCAACAAGGAGGTCCTGGCCACAACAGAACCCCAGCAGGACTCTGGTCCCTGCTGCTACCTGGGTAAATAACTGCCTCTGCTGGTGTTGGTGTTGAATCCTATTCAGAGCAGAGCATTTGTTTTGTGGGTATGTTTTGAAAGGAGACTGATTCAGTTGTGCAGACGTAAATCCTGTCCTCGTTAAAAATACTTACTCTTTTAAGTGGATTTTTCCTTTTTCACATTATAGACTTAGCTTTTTTTTTTTTGCCTTTTATTTGCATGCTGGATTTTTTGTCTTGTTTCGTTGGTTGCTTTTTTTTTTTACTTGAATATTAAAAATAGAAAATGCCTTTATGACCTCAAACTGCTGTTTTCATTTTGTCATGAACAAATTGCTGTTTTCATTTTGTCATGAACAAAAGCTGGCAGCTTTGCTGCTCAGCTAAACTTGTACTACGTAGGATAGTTGGTCAACATCTGCCCAACTTCAAGGGAGTAATTAAACACTTCTAAATACCTCATTGTTCATAGGAGGCCAAAAAAATGGTTGGTATGCTCTCACTCATGCCAGCTTCTACTGGAAAGGGGCTGAAAAGCACAAGAATGTTTAATTTAGATAGGAGATGCTTAAGTGGTGGTTAGGTGGAGGTACACAAGGTAATGAAAAATGCAGAATAACCAGGGGAAGAAAAAAAATACTTTTTTCACTAAAGGAAAGAAAGGCACGCGTGCAAAATTACAAGGATGCAACTTTGAAAGTTAGATTTTATTTTTATGCAATGCAGATACTCTGGCAAAGGCGCCGAGCTGACTATCTCTCAGCCTCACTTAGATGTGAGCAAGCACACAGATGACAAGATTGCAGGTAGGTGCACTGCGTGGAGTGACAGAGAGCTGAGACACAGCTGGTTCCTCTGATTCCCGCCCTCAGTAGATGTCTAATCTTTCAGCACCAGTTTTCATTTCCTTACCCTGGCTGAAAACAGTATCAAAAATGTTAATACAGTGAACTCCGCTGGATAAATCAAATCCTGAAGATGAGACTCGTGTGTCCGTGTGCCTGTTTGTTATGGAGCAGCACCCAATATGATGGAAGCTCCCTCTCACTCCTGAGCTGGCCAGGAGGGACCTGGTTTCTTGGTGGGTACCACCATGAGTGGTGATCTTTGTGCATTGAGGGAGAACCAGCACCCATAGCCACGGAGCTGCCTCTGCTCAGCAGAAATCCCTCAGGGTTTTGCTGCCTTGGGAGGTGGACCCAAATATCTCCTTCCGAGCTGATCTGTCTCCTGGAAGCACTGTGGCTGAAGCTACCTGCTAAGGGAAAGCTCTCGGTGTTTGGTGAGAACAAAGTTCCAGTTTCCCACCTTTCCTGTTCAAACTGACTGGCTAAATCCATATATATTTGTATATGTACTGAACATTTTCTATTCTTGGGCTTTGAGAATAAAGAGACATCAAAAAACCCTTGAGAATGACCCCCCTCCAATGTCATCCATGTGTAAAAGGATGCAAAATCCTCCTCCAAGTGCTCAGCTCTATGGGAACTGTTGAGTCATGGCCTGACCCACTGATTGAGCATCCAGGGAAAGGAGCCGGTCATCCCTGGGAGCACAGGTGAAGGCAATTCAGCTGTGTGACTGGAAGGGGTGGAGCCCGGCTGCACCTCTCTTAGACCTCATTTAAGGGCTGATTGCCATTGGGAAGGGTCTCTCTCTGGAGATTCCTCCTTGGTGAAGCTCTCCCCTGTGAGCTGAGATCTTCAGAGATGGGTGAGTGATCTTTTTTTTCCCTTCGCTTGTAGCAACTTTCTGTAACTGTTATATCTCTTGTATTATCTGTCCATTGTGTTGATCTAATTGTTGCACCAACTCGTGGTGCTGAGAACACACCACGTGGGGGGGATGAATGGCCAGTCCAGAGACAGCCTGTGGCCACCCACCCAAAGCTCATCTGTAGAGCAGGAGGACGCTTTCCCCTCAAGGATGTGAATTTAGGTTGTGACACAGCAGCAGGTGCAAAACTGAGCAGCACTCTGCTCTTGTCCTCCCAGAAACAACGGAGAGGTTTGCTCTGCAAGAGCCTTTGGTTGAGTAAAGCCTAGTGATAACTGGAACCCAACTCCTCTATATCTTTCTCTCTGACAAATTATCACAGGGTTGTAGAATCACTAAGATTAGAAAAGGCCTCTCAGATCCCCAAGTACAACCCCAGCCCATCCCACCGTGTTGCTGCCCACATCCCTCAGCGCCACATCTCCACGGCTCTGAACATCTCCAGGCATGGTGATTCCCCACCTCCCTGTGCAGCTGTGCAGTGCTTCATTGCTCTTTCTGAGGAGGGATGTTTCCTAATACCCAACCTGATAATAATTCAGAGGAAGAAGGTCTGCCAATTATTATGCCTTTACTGAGAGTAAGACATGGGACAAAGGATGCATCTTGCTAGAGGTGCAGAGGTGGTTGCTGATGTGAGTGTGCACATACTCGGAAATGGTTTTGTTTCCATAAACTTCATCATCTTGTGAAAGTGCATGTTCTCTCCCAGAGCAGCTAATTAAATATAGGCTTGTCTAATAAAGCAGATGCTGAAAGACTGTGTGTATTATCTGCCAGCAGAGCTCTGTATAGGTTCGTTCTGAGCTTCAGCAACACTTATAAGTATATGAGAGCATGGCAGATTTGCATGGACTTTGACCACGGGAAGCAAAGACCCATATCTGAAGCTACAAATTGGACTATGAGATAAGAACTCTCCTGAAACCAATATGCAATTAAAAGCCCAATCTTCCTTCCTATAGTGACAAGGTTATTGCTTTTATATAGCTGAACAGAGATGAATGAGTCTACGGATTAATAACACTAAGATTTATGACACTGTGCTTGCCCCGCATATTATGGGAGAATAGCTTTCTGGGTGAGATATTACTACTGAATAAATTTGATAGAATTTTTCCTTCCCTTTATTTTTTTTTCAGCTTTGTGTTATTTAGGATAGCTGTGTTGCATTCACACCGTGAGTGCCGTGGTTTGGTTCTCAGCTAATTGTTCCACGTGCACTCATGCTTTACAAGAGGGTTATTAATAAATGGAGTCCCACAAAGACAAATGCCATTGATGAAAAACAAAACACAAAGTGTATGATTTGAAGAGCATTAGCACTCCAGAGCCACCAAGCTCCTAGCAAAGGTTGGTCACTTCTGTGTATTTGTGCTGCATTTCCCTTTAGAAGGGGTTGTGCCTGCTCCCTAAAGTACCTGCTGTCTGGAAGCAGCTTGTGTAAGCATGACTTGCTTTTCTAAACCCAAACCCAGGTTCCTCTTAGACACTTCAGTATGCTATGGCAATGTGAAAATCATGTTTTTGGAAGGGAACCCTGTGAGAATTGAAGGGGTGGGAGGTATGGAGGTGGAGTAGGGTGGTGGGTCAGGGCAGGGGGCTGCTTGACCTGGATAAAAACACAACTGCAGCGCACAGCTGGGCAGGATTTGACCTGAGGAGGAGATGCAAAGGATGGAGAGGGAGGGGGTATGTGTGGGTGCCCTGCAAGGTGCTGCTGGAGGGCGGGATGCTGTGGTTTGCACAGCTGCAGGCAGCAGCCTCCCCATTGTTTCCACTGTTAACAAAGTCACATTGGTTCATGGCATTGTAGCATCTCATCCTTACAGGGCAGGGGAAATGAATTTTGGAGTCAGCCTTTGTCTTGCCGTCGCTTTTCCCATAGGAGAAGCTGAATTTGTTTCCTTAATGCAATCACAAAGATCTTTGTGCAGAGGAATTGTCAGAACACCTGTCTGCCTATTGAAACCACTTGTGTATGTGGCATTCCTCGATGCTGTTGCATGCTCTGCTGCCTTTGTTTCTGTTGGCTTTCTTTTACATCTGCCTGCTTGGGAGCATCCCTTCTGCTCTATGGGTTTGGCAGTGTGCAGTATGGAGTGAGTGCATGGCAGTACCAATGGGCACAGGGAACACGCTGGGTCCCCACCAGTGCAGCCCAGTTTGGCACCAGCAAGAAAAGGTAGGGAAGGACAGTGCTCTAAAGGGGCTGCAAAGATGGTTTTTTGGTTTTTTTTGTTACTGTTTTTATTTTTTTCTGGGGGAGGGAGGTGCTGGGGAGGACCTTGGCTTTTCCTTCTGCTTGCACTCTGGGGCAGAAAATAACTTTCGACATCAGCACAGCCCATGGGTACGCGGGCCAGTTTTCCTACCAACCCTTGCATGGGAGCAAAGGTTCACCTGACCTGCAGCTATTTCACAGCAAAAAAGGCTCATTCCTTCCTCTGAGACACTAATCCCATTTCTCTGAATGAGGTGAAAACATCCCATTTGATTTAATTCATTAAAAGCAGTGCTCAGTACAATCAATGCTCACCCAAAAGAAACCCAGTTGTGAAATAACACATCTGACAGTAGCATTGTAACAAATAATACAGACCAGGTACTGCTGCTCTTTCAACTTGAAAGACTAAAATGGGAACATTTCCCTCTAAAGGTCTGCAGCCACACACTGACTGTATGGGAGTGCACAGGCACGCAGCTGATCATACATCCCTGGGGACACGTGGACTCACAAAATGTGTGGAGTGTTTTTGTGTGTTGGAGCAGACCGTTAATGTGGCAGGCACTTCTGCCATTTGATGAACTTAAAGGAATTCACCCTGTTCTGCTCAGCCCCGCTGGGCTTCCTTATCCCTGCCATTTAAATGCTCTTGCAAACATTTGCAGCTAGTAATGGGAATTTATACATGTTTGAGTTGAAGGTGGAATGTGCTGGAAAACAGGAGCAGCTGAGAAAGTGTATTTTTCGAACAGTGAAAAAACAAGAATGCTAGAAGAGTACAAAATCTGGGGAACTCTCTTCATTTCTCCAGTCTTGCTCAGTGTTATCTATGTGCAAATTGTCATCCATTGGTTCATGGTTCCCACTGATTCAAGAAGGGGAGGAGGGACTGCAGGTGGGGCTCTGAAGGCTCCTGGAACCGTAGGATGCTGTTTGCAGTTCGTTTGTGGTCTTGTGGCACCATCCAGTGGCTGCTGGCAGAGGACTCCCATTTCCTCGTTAGCACCAAGTGTTCCTTTGCACGGTGCTTGGCTGAATGGTAACCAAGTGTTGGTCCCTTGTGTGTCACCAGCCACTGGCACTGGTAGTCAGGTCCTCCAGGAAGGCCTCTGGGTCACTGCAGGGACCTGTATGATGGGCACAGGGAGGGTGAAGGAGAGCAGCAGGGCTGGATGCTCAACTCATGCTTGATGGCAAAACCAGGATGCCCCACAGAAGATCTTTTCTCTATTTCCATGGCTTGTAAATCTCGTGCTGCTTTTTTTTCCCACTTTGTCTGGTGAAGGCCCAGAACTTCATCCTCATTGTAATAAGAACTGGGAGAGGAGCCAATGGCCAAATTTCCATTGCTGTAATTCTGAACTCCTTGCACATGGACTACTTTGTGGTACTGCTAATGGGTATGAAGAAGCTGTATGGAAATTATGTCCAAGAACAACCCTATGGCCATTCACGTGAGATACCTGGAGTTTATTGGTGGGTTGGCTGGCTGGCTCTGGGGGATGTTGAGCTCAGGGATGGGATTTCCACTGGCTGGTCTCTGTGTTTTCACATCCAGACGTCTCTCCAAGGGCTTCCCTTTTATGGACACAGCTGTCCCTGCACAGAACACAACAGGTTAGATGATGACTTGGAGGTGGCACAGCTTAATTAGAAGGGATGCAATGGCCTGCTGCCTAGGGGTGGCTCCACTGGATAAGGGAACAGCATCCCATGGCCATCAGTAGGTGGCCAAGAAGGGTACCCACAGCTGGCATTGAGAGAGAACAGGTCATCTCACCTGGGATTATGGAGAGTTGTCGAGGCAACGGAATGCTGGGCTTCTTGAGTTGCCTGACTCTCTTCATCACCATTTGGATCAGCTCATCCCTTAGGTGGAGGAGACCAGGACTGTTCTTAGCCTTCTGCAGCTGCTGAAGCCTGAGCACAGCCTGGAGGTGTTGGTAGGTCTGGCTGGAGATCCCCTTTGCAGCCTAAAATACAGGGTGGTTGGGAGGCCCAACATTGTGAGTCCTCGCTTGCACTGTCTGCATCTCACAAGCAACCCCACACAAGCCCCTACCCACACCCCACTGTTTCATCAATGTAACACTCCTATCCCACCCATAATCCATCCATGAGTCTTTAGCTATCGTTTGCCCTTGCAGCAGCTCTGCTAGGTGCTAGGTGGTGGTATTGCATTGCAGCACAGCAAGGTGTAGGAGGTACTGTTTAATATGCTCAGCATGAAAAGGACTCGGCCAGTGAAAGTCCCCTTGAAGTCCCTGTGACAGAGGCTGCTGTACCCTCACGCACCCATCTTCCCTGAAGAGAGGAAGCCCTGGATGGTTTAGCATATGAAAGGCTCCTTGTAGGAAAGGCTTGCTGGGTATTTATTAATGAACTGTCTCAGAGGTGTGAGCACAGCAGTTTATTCCACATGCTACCAGCTGGTTCTGCCTCCACCCTCTCATTTGCCTCTCAGAGTGTGAGTGTTCCAGGCAGGGGTTGCTTTGCTGCTAGTTTTGGTTGCTCCAAAAAAATTATATCTGTTCAGAGCAGTCTTTGATCTGCCCTGTACTGCACTGGCACTGCAAATGCTGGCAGTGAATGCACAGGCTTACCCTGCTGATCCCCATGCTCTCCAGCCTTTCTTCCAAAGTTTCCTCCAGGATGCGCCGAAACTTCTTCAGGAGGTTTGGTTTTCTCCACAGAGCTTCCAGCAGCCATTTCTTCCCTCTCTGAGCATCATCTGCTGTGTCTGGGTGTAGCAGAGCATGGGTTGTGCCCCAGTGAGGTGGCTGGGCCCTTATCCCCTCTGAGAACATGGATTCCACCAGTCCCATAGCTCAAGCCACCCAAGAGCAGGTTTCTGAGTTCTCTCAGCAGACCACATCCCTCTATCAGGGACACCCATCTTCCTCCTCTAGCTTCCATTTCTCAGAAACAACTCTTCCAAAATCCCCCCACAGCAATAAGCTGCCAGAGTCAACTTTCTGGGGTGAAGCATCCAACCCAGGGCTAGTCATGGTGCTGTCATACTTGGCATGGAGGTCACCAGCAACATTATCCCCTCTATCCCCATCCCAGCATTCCCTATATGAAAATAGTTACACCTCCAATACCCACCTCCTTCTGAGGATTCTTCAGAAACCACTGCTCTGGTCACCTGCTGGGTCACTGCAGGAATGAAAACAGCCTGTGAGGGGTAGGGGAGATGAAGCTCCAGTGCAGATGTGAGCTCCAACACCACCTTGCTTTGCTAAATGGAAAGCACAGAAATATCTGTTCCTATAGGGATCCAGGGATGGCCCAAATCCAGAGCCTTGGAGAGCATCCTTGAGGGAAACCCTGCGGTGCTCAGAAGCAGCACTGTCACCCTCTGAAGCCACCACCTGGAGCATGTCAGAGCCATCCCCTGGGAGGGTGGGTGATGTGCTCCATGGATATCTGCTGACAGCCATCTGTGTTTAAAGGCCTTTCTTTTTGTTTTTCTGAGGAGCGCTGGGAGCTGCGAAGTCTCAAGTCTTTCTCCCTAGGACCTGATTATAGAAAATCAAGGCTGCAAAGAAGAAACCACGGCATGTCTCAGCTCCTTATTTTCATGCAAATAACCGCTGGTATCATTTTTGAGGAGGCAAGGTCATTGCTGTGCGCTCTTGATTGAAATCTCATTCCTTCGGGGCATGGCTACAATGCAAAACCAGCTCAAGAAGCAGATGGTTTTCTGCTGTGCCCAGTGCTGCTGCTGGCAATCAGGGGGCTGTGAGGTGCCCACCCATGGCTTCATGAGAGAGGACACAGAGCCAGCTCCCCGAGGACGTCCCCACAGCACAATCTTGTAATGGGAGACTGAGGTAGGCAGTTGCTAAACCAACTGCTAGCTATAAAACATTTATTCAGACTCAGATTGATTCACTTTTAAAAAGCAGTCATTACCTTTGGGCTTATTTGCAGACAGCAGCTTGGTCTGTAAAGAAGAAGAGAGATCACAAGAGAAATGCCCAGGCCTTTTCTGAGCGAGGTGCCAAGGTGTTGGCACAGCTGCCCAAGGAGATGGGGAGTCACCATCCCTGCAGGTGTTCCAGAACCATGGAGATGTGGCACTGAAGAATACAGTCAGTGGGCAGTTCTTACAGGCATGGGCACCTGATTGCCCTTGTGCTTGGAGAAATTCAGCTTTTCCTTGGTCCTGAAGGACATCTGCCATTTTAAAGGCAGTGCCTTTCCCAACCCACTCAACACTCAGAGATGTTGCCATGTCAAAGCCTTTTTTTACGGGGCAAGAAGGCAGCTGATGCATGGCAAAATGTTTATTTGGTGCTTTAAATGCTTTTCCATGCAGTGAACTGCCACTGAGCTCCAGTGAGGATGCATGATTTGGGACCATGGCATGCCCTGGCACCTTCCTGGTCCCATTTCTGGGCTTACTTCTACCCAAGCTGACACGAGACGTGCTCAAAGCAGATGCACATAGAGGTGATGGATGGGAGGGGCAAGGATGCATGCTCACCTGCACTGCTGTCATTTCCAGGTCAGAGTCATCATCCTGCAGGGTCCCCAGGTTAGACACCACTGCTGCTTTGGCCTGTAGCTCCTGCAGCTTCTGCAGTGTGGAGGGAAGGAACTGTTTGTCCCAGTGGGTCTCAGGAAATTCTGCATTCCTCCCAGGCCCACCTTGACCAGCTGCTGCCTCTGACTCCAAAATGCATGCATGCCCCAGGACAACAGGGGGCCCTTTGGGCTGTGAACCTGTACAGCCACCTGGACCTGGTGAGGCAGCAATCCACATCCCCTTGCTGTCCCCCAGCTCACCCCTTCCATAGCACTGCTCCTGCTGGCAGCATCCTGCAGCTCAGTGAGGAAGTGCTGCCTCAGGCCATCCATCTCCATGTGCAGCTTCATCCTCTCTTCCTCTTTCCATCTTTCAAAATCTCTCCTTTCCTCCGCTTCCCGCTGATGAGCTCTCTTCTCTTCCTAAAGGGAGTGGAAAACGGGAGCAGGAGATGTATAGAGCAGCAGTGCCCAGGTTGGGTGAGGGTTAGGACACTGCCCATAGGCAGTGATAGGAAGTTTGGGGGGCAAATATTCTTAAGTGAGCACAGATCTCATGATGAAATATTCTTCTGTACCTTTTTTCACCTGTGCTGTCTCATCACATCTCTTCCTTCCTTCCTGCCATACCTGCTCCCTGCGCAGCTTCTCTGCCTCCCTCCCTGCTGCCAGCTGCTGTTGCATCTCACGCAGTTTCGCCTTCAGCTCCTCAACCTCCTCCTCCATACGCTCCACCTTCTTGGTCTCTGCAAAGCCTGGGGAGCAGAGCCACTGTGAGCAGCGAGGGTGAGATCTGCCCACTCCAGCAGCACCCTGCAAAAGCACCAAGCAAAGTCACTGTGGGGTGTAGGGCTGTAGGAGAAGCTGGCTCCTACATGAGCCATGTGCATGCACAAACACTCTGCCCAAAGGGAAGGCAGTGAGCAGCAATCATCCATAAATGTTCACAGAAACACAGAAGAAATATTAAATTGTAGGGAATCACCCCCAGTGCTCTCCCTCCTCCGGTTGCTGGCACTGCATGTGGGCTTGCAGGAGGGCAATGCTCATGGAAGCTTTGTCACAGAGGTGGCACTGGGGGGTGAGAAGGGTCAAAAAAAGCACTTGGGTCACAGAAAGGGGCTTCCCCATGTTCCTGGCATGGCAAAGCTCTGCTGCTATATAAGGAGAGGGGGAGACCTCAAGAGAGGCAGCTATTATGCTGGAGGTACACAGGTGTCAGGAGTGTCTTCTGGCAGAAGCCTAACGGGAAGGCCTTAGGGTTCTAGGGTTAGGGCTAGAATATGGGATGAGGCACAAGCCATGGCTTTCCCCAGAGACTAGAAAACAGAGTAGCAGTACAGTGCTGCCTGTAGCAGGCTCTGCTCCAGCCTCAAGTTCTTGCAGGCTGTGTGAACCTGAGCCACCTAGTTTGGGTGGATTTTACAGTCTGGGAGCAAATGAGAATGCTCACTCATCAGTGATGTGGACAAGGAGGCATGACCAGCAGCTTTACTGCTGAAAAGGTGCAAAAACCTCAGTGGGAGGATAAAAACCTAAATGGGCACCAAAACCAAAGGCCTCCAAAAGTCTGTCACTGGGCCATAGGATATCCCAAGTCACCGTGGCACAGGTATTCCCAGGACACTTGAATCTTTGGGATGTCCCAAGCCAGCCCTCTTAACCCCTCCTCCACACACCTTGCAGTAGCCACTGGGTCTGGCTTGCAGGAGGAGCTGGGTGGCCACCAGCTTCTTCCACCTCCTGCTCTCTTCCTTCTCACCCCGGAGCCTCGTTGCCTGCTCCGATGCCAGGCCCTGGGCATGAGCCAGCTGTGCACGGGCATCCTGCAGGTGCTGGGCATGCACAGCCAAGCTGTCAGCCAGGTGCTGCTGGCAGTGCAGCAGGTACTCAATGCTCAGCTGGGCCAACCTCAGCACCGTCAGCAGCACAGGGTCGGCCGGCTGCCTGCAGTGGGGACACCGCTCTGCATCCATGTTACAGAAGGTGATGTTGGAGATGTGCTCCTGCAGCACGGCCACATCCCCCTCCCGTGCCACTCGCTCCACATCCACAGCGCTGAGGCGATGCCGATCCATGGCAAGGCAGCGGGGCTGGAAGCAGAAGGTTTTGGGTGGGATGGTGAGTGCTGGGGGTGCTGTCAGCATTGCCATGGCTGGAAATGGCTGGAAGGAAGAAGGGGTGCATTAAGACTGGGTGCGCTGATCCTCCAGCTCCAGTGCTGTGGTGAAAGGCAGTGTTTTTCTCCCCATTCTCCCCATTCTCCCCAATCTCCCCATTTGCAGCTGCTATCTACTGTTTTTGCCAAATTCTGATAAAAGGGAAGGGAAGGGAAGGGGAAGAGGAAAGGGGAAGAGGAAAGGGAAGGGGAAAAGGAAGAAAGGGGAAAAGGGCAAAAAGGGAAGGAAGGGGAGGAGGGGGAGGTGGGGAAAGGAGGGGAAAGGAGGGAAAGGAGGAGAAGAAGGATTCCAGTTTATTTACCGCCTGCTTTTGGTAAGGGAAAGTTTTCAGACAACTGCCACTCTTTAAAATAAAGCGTTGTGAATGAATCTGCAAATCCTTTTACCCAAACACTGGAATTCACGTGTTTTAGGGTAGTCCCATGCTTATACCATTAGCAGCACTGCAGTGTCAAACAACCTGATTCCTTGCATCAGACAAAGAGGATATGCCTGAGTAGGTATGTATGCATACATATATATATATAGGTCTAAATATAGCCCTGACTCATAGCTGCAAATTGCGTAGATCTGCAGGGGAGCAGCACACAGCTCCTGCAGGTGAGGCTCTGTTGCATGAATTAACCTCTGCTAAACCAGACCAAGTTTCTGCCCCACTGGAAATGTGGAAAGGTGACCAAGCAACAGCAGTGACCACAATGCCCCCACCTCAGCTGTTTCCCTGTTCATGGAACATTTTACAATCCTCCAACGATCCCCTAACCGCAGGCTATGTTACACAACCTTGTTAATATTAACAAGGGTTTCACACACCAAAGGAGCAGTGTTAAACCCGGACCTGCTGCTTAGCAGCGTGCCTGGGATTGCCCCACAGCCTGTTTCAGGCATGCCTGATTAGTTTTCCTTCCTCCTCATACAAAATGCCATATATGAGGTCTTCAATGGTGCAACCACTGCAGCAAGCCAGTAACCCAGCTCTGAAGGTTTATTTTCCTTCAGTTCTTTCTTGCATTTGCCTGGGATGGGTGTCTAGCCGGTGTAAAAGTATTCTGACTTCCACGTTGCAATGCAACGTAGCACCCACTGATGTGATGGACCTGCTGGTCAGAACTGCCCTCACCACCCCCAGTGGAAGTGTTGATGCTCATCCACTGTGACTCAAATTGTGCGTGCTGGGTGAAGAAGACACCAGCCTTGAGGGATGCAAGTCCATCCCCAAGGTAGCAGCTAGGACCACACAGCCAAGCTTACACAGTCAATGCATTTACATGCACCATTTCCACTCCACTGTGCAAAACCCAACTCCATCAAAGTGCTGATGGAGACAGCCTTCAGAGAGACTGCCGTCCCAGCTCATGGCTGCTGGACCAGGCTATTGCTTGATTCTCTTACCTACAATTCTCATCTTTGGCAAGGAATTCTCTCCCCCTTTCCTCCTCCACCCTTCCCAAACTCTTAGGTGCCAGCATCCTTCTGCTGGCACTGGGAGATGCAGGGTCAGGGGACCTAGCCCCTGCTCTTATGCCTTCTGGAGCAGCTCCCCCTACTCCTCCAGACCTTGCCCACAGGCAGCATTCACTTCCCTCCCTTCGTCAGCCTCTCCTCCTGCAGGAAAGCAGCTGAGCAGAGCCTCGGAAATGTTTTTCGCGTGAGCTAACGAGCTGAGAGCTGGAGCAGCACGTCCCCCAGCGCCGCTCCTCCCTTCCCTTAAGTAGGAGTTTGAAGAGTCGGGGCAGAAAAATGCCAAAAAAAAAAAAAAAAAAGGCAAATACTCACTTGTTGCTAGAGACAGGGAGAGAAACTGAGGAGCAGGGACAAGGGTAGGGACAAAAATGGGACCAGAGCAGAGAGAAGAAGCCCGGAGCAACGAGAGACTCCTTGAATCCTTGCAGACAGGGAGGATTTCCGTGCTGTAACCCTACACTCCTCCCCTGCTTCCCCCACCCCCCCCATCTTGTGACATTTAAAACCACGGAGAAAAAGCAGCTCCCGGTGCATAATTGGATAAAACTCTGCGTCTGTGGGCAGCACTGTGAAACCCACTGCCCTGTGCTGAGCTGTGTGAGCTGCACCCCAGGAAGGGGAGCAGCAAAATGTCCCCCCGTGGCCTCTGCTGGCCTTCAGCGTGGACTCAGAGTGCACTGATTGAGTGCTCACTGGAGGATGGGGCTGAGCCCATGGGGCTGGATGGAGACCCAAACCCACCATCCAAATGCATAAACCCCAAGTGTGCGGAGAGCTTGCTTCTCCCTATCAGTCCTGCTGCCACTTCTAGCTGCAGAAAGCAAGCTGCAGATTGCTGCACGCTCATTAGCTGCTGTGTTTACAGAAGATAGCATTGTACAGATGGCAAACATTCTATGACGGGCAAGCCATCCACCCCCGCCTTTCTGCTCCCAACCTAAAAACAGCTGCTCAGACAGACGCAGAAGAGATTTGCAAGCTGTGCCTTTTCAGGGAGTTGGGTGGATTTGCATTGCTCTTACAGGAGGAAAATAAAAGTCAGTGCAAGAGAATGCATTGCTTTCCTGAAGCATATGAGGTCACTGGGTGCTCTGATGGGATTAAATGGGGTCTCCCTTATTCTATTTCCCTCTGGATGGCCCCAAGAATGGAGGAGCATAGAGGGAGCTCAGAGAGGCTGGTGGGGAGATGTGGCCCATGGGAATCCTGGCTTTTGGCAGTAGTTCCATGTGAGAACCATCACCTTCAGGGTGAACGGGGTGCCAGTGAGAGGGAAGGAGACAAAAATGCAAAGTGGGAACCCAAAAGAGATATGAGGAAGAAATAGGTGACAGCTGGACAAAGGTGACCTTCCTAGCACCTCCTGAAATGTCTTTCTAGGGCAGTTATTCCCCATTTTACTGGTAGCAGAAACCCATTGATTTCAATGGGACTGGGGAGTGCCAGCAGGCAGGTCCCATCAGTTCTTGGTGCCCCAGCACCTCCTCTTCAAGAGATGCAACACTTTGCAGCCAGAGCTGACTCCAGAGCCTGAGGAAGGGCAGCCTCATTCTGAAGGAGCCAAAGAAGATGTGTGAGAGTGCAAATATGTCAAAAAAAGAGAATCTTTTTCCAGGGGAAAGCAAGCTCAGAGGTTGTGGTGGTTTACTATCCATTTTATTTTAACTTGCACTGATATGTCCCTCTCAAAAATGGAGGGTATAAAGTTCATGTGAGAAAAGCTCAGATTAACGAGAAGACAATAGTTTGGGCTACTCTTCATTAGCAGTCATCCATCCCCTGCCATTACACATGCATTACACCTGCTCAGAGGCCTCAGCCCATCCCAAGGCCCCTTGTGTTGGCAACTTGTCTGATGTGTAGCTGACATTTCTGTCAAGAGGAGCATCTGAAATCCATCCTAGGAAGGCAGCAGGTCTTTTTATGAACACCTCCTTTCACAAAGCTCAGTAGAAAGGTCCACAAGTCCCTTTGATTTGTTAAGATTTGGTTCACGAGCACCTCTAAAGAAATAAAACCAAATTTACTCAACCTCTCACGCAAAAGTGTTGTTATAATGTCTCTGCAGGCTGCATCCAATGCATATGTTCCTTAGCAGCCTAAAGGAGCATGGGCAGTGGCAATGCAAAGGTTTTTCGACTGCAAAGCCAGCTGCTGACTCCAACGGGGACAGTCTGGAAGAATCACTCCTTCCTTCTTCCTACACATCACACAGAGTCCTCGTAGCTTGTGAAGACCCTCAGCTCTGCGTTTTGGATCAGGTCCTCATAAGTGCTGGGGCAGTAGGTTTTGTACAGTTTTTCAGCCAGCGAGTTGCTCCCAGCAACCACAGCTTTCCGGTTGCGGTTCATGAAGTTCCACAAGTGCAGAGCATAGGAGTGGTTGAAGTCAGGGACTTTGTCCCATACATCGTAGTAGCGGCTCCAGGCTGGGTATGGGATGGGGTAGAAACGCTGTGGGTTTAGGAAGGAGATGTTCTGACAGCTGTGATCCTCAACGCCTTTGAAATCTGTGAGATTGCAGATGGCTTTAAGCATCCTCGTCATTAAAAAGGGCCCCTGGTTCCCCCAGATGTTCCCATTGTACTTGAGAACAAAATTCTCCATGCAGTCCCAAATAAATTTGTGACGGGCAGGGAAACCAAAGATCCCGTTGCTGGAAAACCTTGACTTCTGTGCTGCCAGGAAGCTACCCTCAGGGATGGGCCTGATGGAGATGACATCTGTGTCCATGTAGATGCCCCCATACTTCCAAATGAGCGCCAGTCTGCTGGCGTCAGAGCTGACATGGACCCAGTTCTTCTCCTCTTCGGGGTCTACCTGCAATCAGAAAAGCAAGGCAATAATGCACCCATCCACCCATCAGGATGTGAGCTGCACCATAAAACACCCCTACACTAACAGTCCACGTGCCTTCAAATGCCACTGATTGCCTTTCCTTCCTAAAGCTATTGAATTTTATTGGAAAAAAAGGATAATAGTGCGGAGCAGAGCAATGCTTTGTTAATGTAAGGAACATCGGAACATTTCACTTGGTGTTCTTTGAAACTCACGGTGTTAAACCAATGATGCCATGAATCATTGCTTGCTATATTACTGAAGCTGAAACTACTTTAAATGTTCCCTTCCTTATCGCTCTCAGATCTTCCAAACAGGCCTGCAGGTTTCCATAGACTTTATTAGTTTGGAGAGCTATTTCTTCCTCAGGAAAAGGAAGAGTTTGAAGGAAATCCAGTTTCACCACTTGTCCTGCAGGGAGATGGAGCCAAACAAACCTGACAAAATCTTATTGCAAGTAGTTTGCCAGGAGCTTGTTTTCAAGGTGGAGCTTGCGAGATCTCACCTTGGGTTTGGACATTGCGGGTACAAAAACTGAAATCTCTCTCACATCTAATCTCCTGTGGGCTGTATCAGTGTGTGGCAGCCTTAATATGTGCTCAGAGGACTCGGGCAGACTAGCTTCTGTTGAGCAAGATTATTAAGTGCTGTTTTATCAAAACACATGTGCAATCTATTTTTACCAACGCTCTGTTTGCCAAAAATCTGATTCTCCAGATAGTGGGAAATTGCTGATATTATGTTCAGTAAACAGATAGATGAATACATTGCAAAACATGGCAAAAATAAACACGTTCTGAACCAGAACAATGAAAGTGACTGGTTTCTCATTGCCAAGCCTGCGCTCCTCCCTTCATTTCAAGCCTTCTTTGGAGTTTTCCCACCATCATTTCAACTTTTCCCTACTTCCCCCTCATCACGACCCTCACCTCGTTGTACCACTGCAGAAGAGGGGTCTCCTGGAAGACGTTTTCCATCTGGAGAGGAAAAAGGAAGACATTCTTCATAGAAGATAAAAGCGAGAAGGCCGTGTAGCTGGAGTTTGAGTCCAACACGGTGTCATTTGTCAGCCCCTTCATGAAGAGGATGATGGGCCGGTCCTGGTAGATCCTGGCAGCAGACTCCACGGAGCAGGACACCAGTGGTGGTGGTTCCAGGCGCTCTGTCGTCTCCAGGAAGATGATGCTTCTGCCCAGGTTGAGGACTTGCTCAGGTGTCAGGAATTGCTTGGGCATAGGCATACAGGAGAAGAAGCAGCCAGATAGCAAGGAGATCTCGTACAAAATGCCGGAGACGAAGAAGAAGCAGAGGCATATGTGGATTTTCTTCAACATTCTTGTTTTCCCTTGGGCTTTGAAGTGATGCCTCAGGCATATATGCTAAGGAGAAACAAGGAGAAGCAAAAATATGTATCTGTGTTATGGCTTAGCAGGACTGGGAGTTGTTGGACTAGCTTTGGAAAGTGTGGCATGAAGGTAGCATAATCATGCCTTTACTCTTAGCAGGAAGGCAGCATAGTGACACTCATGCCTTTCCCCCATAGCACTGTTCCTGGAGGTGTTCAGGAGCTGTGGAGATGTGGCACTGAGGGATGGACCTTGTCAGTGGGCATGGTGGGGATGGGTTGTCATTTGCTCCTGATGATCTCAGTGGTCTTTTCCAACCTTAATGATTCTATGATTGTATGAAGGCAGCAAGGTGATGCTCATGCCTTCCCCCATAGCATGAAGGCAGCAGTGTGATACTCTTGCCTTTCCCCAGGACAAACCTGACATGAAACCTTGCAGTGCAGTGGGCTCTGCCTGAGGGATGAAGTGCTGTGTAGCCTCAATTCCTCACCCCCAACCAGAAACTGGGGACTTGGAGAAGTCCTGAAGAAGGGACACATGCCTACATCTCGTGGCACAGCTACGCAGTTGCTGAGTTGGAAAAGACCCAGCGTGAGATGGGATGAGATTTTGGTACCTCACCCCTGGAGTAGGCTAATGTAGTGTATGGTTCTAAAGCTTTGGAATATCATGCCAACATGTGCTTGTCCATCAGTAGATGTCCTTGGGATGTGAGAACCATAACCCCAAGGTGTGGTGGAGTTAAGGGGACTGTGAGTGCCAGCAATGGGAAGACCATAGTTATAGCTTTGGATGTCTCAGCCAAAGGGAACATGAGCACATAGGAACCAAAGTCTCTCCCAACCTGCTCACACCTCAGCTTTTATCCCAAAGTCTGTGAGGGACTCAGGTCCCACAGGGATGGAGGAACCAGCAGAAGGCAGATAGAGGACAGAAAGCACGTGGCTTTGTGCAAGCAAAGAGCTAGAAAATACCTGTATTATAGTTCTGATGAATCCACATTTCCAGCTTGTTCGTTGGCCATCAGGCCTCCTGGAAGCCCAGCTCCTGGAGGAAGACACCCAAACTGTCTGGATCATGCAAGGAGACTTCTGAAGGCAGCAGATGGATGCTCAGAGAAAAAGTGGCTTTACTTTCTCAGCCCAAGAGATGGTGTGAGGCCAATGGGGTCCTCCTAAAAGGACAAAGAATGGACAGGTTTGGACATCTCCAGCCTGCATCAGCATTGCCCAGCTCTTCAATCCTAGTCTCACTGCAGCACGAGCCCATACAGCACCAAGGAGCTCTGGCTGGTGAGACGCAGGATTGAACCTTCGCTGAACTGCATCTACAGGCTCACAGTGTAGGGAAATCCCTCCTGAGATGACACCAGGTTGCGTGGGAGCAGCCACATCTGCTCTGCAGGGACTAGCTATCACCCTGGAGCCAGGGTCTGATGGAAGAAAGCTGCATTGAATGACAACTCAGACCAAGTGATCTCCTGAATGTGTTTGAAGACTGATTAATTAAAAGGAATGGGAGGAAATGAGAGTGTGTGCTTGGTTAGTTAATAAGATGCATTACCATGTCACCTAGCTGGAATGTAGATAAGTCTGCAGTGTAGAGAACCCCATGGAAATTCCCCTGGAAGCACTGAGCTCGAAGCTGTGGCAGCTCTTGCTCCATTTTTCAGAGCTCCATCTCATCAAATTAAATATTAAAGCAATGGCTGCTCCCATAAGTATGGCTTTTCATGCTGCATAGCAAATTTTGCTGTTTCCCATTGCCAATGCATAGAAAATAGAAGGTTGTTGGGGTTGGTTTTTGTTTTTTTTTTTTTTTTGCTATACTCCAGGTTCCTGCAACAGCACAGGAAAAAACACTGGGGGTGAAGCCGTGAGGTGCTGCAATCACCAGCATGGTTGTGGGGATAATCTTCTGAACAAGGCCAGCAAGTTTGCAGCCTGCAGGGGAGGAGATGCTGTTTTTTCTTTAATTACTGTTTTTCCCTTCTTTTTCTAACTTTTTCTCCTTGCACAGAGGCTCTGCAGAGGAGACCAGCCCCCACCTCCAGGGCCTCTCTGCAGATAGGGAATGTGGACGGAAGACAGGGAGCGGAGAGCAAACACGAAGGTTCGGAAACAACGTGTTCCTGAGCCTGCTGATAAAGCCAGCGGTGCTGCAATGCTGGGTTTCCTTCCACATTCCCCTCCTGCCTCTCTCCGACAGACTTTGACATATTCCTAGTCACTTGAATATAAAACAGGAGAAGTTTAGCAGCTCTCTCACCAACCTCGGCTTGGCCAGAATTTCAAACTCTTCTTTCTGTTATTTTCCCCTCCAAATCCCAGTTTAGACCCAAACCATGCACGCAGCTTGTCTGCTGTTTCCATGCAGTCTGGAGGCTGGTGCTCCCTCTCATCCTTTGCAATGTTAAAAATCTCAATGCCAGTCTGCTGGCTTTGGTTTTGATGAGAAATGGGACCACCTGGACTTTCCCATTACTTGTTGAGCATTTCCTCTCTGATGGCCTCTAGATCCAACATCTCCTGCCTGAACGAGGAGCCCAGCAGAGCGGCGGTAGCAATAGTCGTTCAAATTTAAAACAGTCCAGAAGGCATTTTATTTGCAAATTGTGGAGGGAGAATAAGTAGACCCTCCAACAGCTATCAGCTCCATGTACAGCATTGTACGAAGCGACGCCAATCTTCATCGTCTCATTCTGGGAAATTGTTTTGCTTGGTTGGTTTTCCAAAACCCACTCTGTGGCGAGTTAGAATTCTCATCACATTTGACCTGGAGGCTGCTGTTATCAAAATGTTCACTTCTCAGCTCAAGTTAAAAGGACTGCAGAGCAGCGCGTTAAAAATAAATCCCAGCCATTGAATAGATTACCCTGCTGAGTGGGCTGCTTTTCGGCTGCAGCAGACGGCACGCTGGCTTGATGGCCCTTCTTGTAAAGATATTTCTTTTCTCCAGGCAATTGCAGCATTTCAAGTGCGGGATGAAAACGGCTGGGAGACTACAAGTGAGATTAGGAGAAGTGCCGCGTGCTACAGCACGGCTCCAGCTGTGTGATAACTCCTCTGCCATGCCCACAGGACACGTGCAGCAGGAGGGTGCAGTGGGATTTTGGGGCTTCCTCTGAGAGTCAGTGGGTTTTGCACCCAACTGACAAGGTGGTCGTCCTTATTCCTCCAGGTGGGGAATAACTGTGTGCCATTCAGTGCTGATGCACTCATGGCATTGCTTGGGTTTGCACTCCCTTGTCTTTGCAGAAGCTGCTAGAGCAAATGGCAGCTGCAATCAAGTCAGTGCCTGTGCACGCACTTCAAAGGCAGTTCCCCTCTTGATTTAACACCAGGCACATGTGGAAACCTGTATCAAATGGATGTCCTATAGAAGAATATACCATATTCATTGCAAACTAATTAATGCTACTTCTAGCAATGCACACAAGTAAAGGCGCTTCCTCCCACACCACTTTTCCCTCATTCTGATTCCCCAACCCGGCATGTTTATAGGTAAATCAAAACTCACCTTTTGGCTGGAATAATCCAGCAAAGCCTTCAGTCCTCTGGGAAGCAAATCCAAGCTGGAGCAGGCAGGAAGGCACTGGAGGAGCTGCACGGCCTCTCCTCTATCTTTTTCTGTGCCAGGGCTTGGAGCAGCCTCATAGCTTGCTCGTTACCTGCTCTGGTGTTTGCATTCTTGGTGCTCTGAGATAACACTGAGGAAGGAGCTGGGGCTGATCTCAGAGGCACAGGCACACAGCAGCAGGCAGCGCCCTGCTGGGGTCCCCAGAGATGGGGGATAGAGCCAAGCAGCCTCCAAAACCCTGACTGCCTGCACCCTGTGGAGCACTGCTTCATTCCCAATTGCCTGGAAGGGAGGTGGCTTACATTATATTTAGCTTTTTTTCCTCTTTGTATCCCAAACTGCCCTTATGGAAGACACTTTGCATTGCAGCTTAGGTGTTTGCCCTAAAATAAAGGAGTGCCCCAGAGTAGCATGCAATGCTATTGCCTTGCTTGGAAGTGCTCACAACAGTGCCCTTAACAAATACATCCCAAATAGCACCCTGTGTCCTGAGCAGTGTCCCAACACAGGTTGAGTCTATTTAATCCAGGCCAGGCTGGATGGGGCCCTGGGCAGCCTGATCTGGTGGGGGACAACCAGGCCACAACAGGGTTTGAACTGAAAGGGCTGTAGAGTCCCTTCCCACCCAAACTGTCCTGTGATCCTATGAATCCAAGGAGCACTTCACCAGCAGCCCTGCACCCATAGGGCTGGACTTGCTGCATGTTAACTTGTAGTGGAAATGTGGTCACCCAGCCAAACCGTGGTCACCTCAAACCCCGAACAAAAAGGCTGCAGGGTTTGATGTTGCTTAATGCATTGCTTTTAAATTTCATTGCAATGCATTGCTTTTAGGAGCAGGGCTTGATCTTTACAGGTCCTTTCCAATTTGTGATAGTCTATGATTCTAAATGCACATGGCTAGTTTGCACCGAGCATGGCTGTGTTTACCAAATTTAATCAGAGACCTCAGAAAACCCTCTGGAAGGAGTGCAGCAATGACTTGGCTCTTAATAGCCATCTTGTGCTGGGTCAGCAGGATTTATAACAGAGATGGAGCCACAAAGTCTAATAGAACTCCCAGGCAGATCCCTCCTGCACCAACCCACTGTGGTCAGCGCAAGGAAGCCAGAGCACTCTGCTGGGATGCAGACTCCCAGAAGTGGTTCTTTGCAGCATCCCTCCTGCTCCCTCCTTTTTGCTCTTCTCCTTTGATTTTTGGTGAGGCCACCCAGAAAAGCGCTTTTCTCCACCATCAGCAACCCCCTAGTGCTAAGAAACCACTGAGAAGTGCTCAGCTAAGCACCTCTGCCATTTGTGGGGGCACAAGACAGCAAGAAGCCAGTTTGCCTTCTGCAACCCTTCACTGAGGAGGCTAGGGCGTGGATGCAAAGGGCCCAGCCTCCCCTGGCTGTGTTTGCACTCCCGCGTGCAAACAGCCTGCTGCAGGCAGCTACCAGGGATGTGGAAGCATTAATGCTGCCGCGGCCGTGCAGAACAAACAGTTCCATGGAAAGCTGGCGAGATATCCCAGGCTTAATCAGCAGATAGCACCCAAGAGAGCATGCGGGAGGGCTCGGCTCATAAAGAAGTCCCTGGGAATGACGTAGGATGAGCCCCTGTGCCCGACACACCTCAGCTCTCCCCAGGAACCCTCTCCTTTGGCAAACACTTCACTCAGATCCATCTCTTGCAGTGAGGGAATAGGATGTATAACACCCAGGATGACCATCCATCCCTTCCTGATGCATAGTGCTGTGCCTACAGTACGAGCTGATGCATAAATACAGGGGCAGAGATGCCATCTTGTACAAAAAGCTTCAGCCCAGCTTTTACCATGAAAGCATCCCTGTGCCGCACCATCACCCATCACTCCCATGTGCCACCAGCCCCCTGGCCTGAGAATTTGCTACAGACTGTAGGCTGTTGGAGCACATGCCTCCAGACTATGAGAATGGACAGGGTTGGAAGGGAGCTGATGTCTCCCTGACAGCCACTTGGTCCAACCCCCTGCAAGTGCTGCCAACATAGAGCACGTTGCCCACGGTGCCAAATACATGGGTGCATCCCGAAGCATGGAAAGGAAGATGTGAAGAAAAATCACTTGGCTGCTTGTTGGGAAAAACTGAAAGAACACTTCAAGACAGAAATGGGGTTGTTTGTTCTAGAGGGTTCTTTTGCTTGCCCCCTGCACCTCTGTGAATGGTGCTGGGGTGAGCCCTAATCTCATGAAGGAGCATTTTTACCCCAGAAAACTGCTTTTTTTTTTAGTGGCTGGATTCATCCTGACCCCTAGCAATATGCTGGATGAATACAGGCAAAGATGCTCTCACATGGATGGCAGCATCTCACTGAGACTCTGTTCTCCTTGTCTGGGTTGCCGTGGATCAGACACAACTATGCTGATCTCACCTGTGTCCCATCAACCTGGCATGTGAGTTGGGGCCCTGATAGCCACGCACAGATGAAATACTAAACATAGGCAGGGGTCAAATCCTGTTGCTGTTCTGCATTGCCCTCT